TTTTCACAAACAACTGAATTATTACGGATTTCAGTGTACCGGAGAATCTCAACAGAAAACCAAAAATTTTATCAGGCTATGCGAGTTTACTAATCTGAAAGTGGGGACAATTTGCTGGCCCATTTGATGGATGAGGGAAATGGTTTAACCAGCTATACTAATTACCTTGTTTTATTGTACTGGTTGGCAATAAATTTGGTCATAGATTGATATCGAATTTAATGCTGTGGGTAAGACGCCTGTTGGGCCAAAGATGAGACCAGCCGAGAACATTTGATTCCCTCCCTGTGTGATGTTACTTGACTCCGTTTGTGATGGCGACAGCTCATTCTGTGTCGCCTAACTGCGGCCGGCGATTTACACTTCAATTTGTAAACCCGGTCAACTAACCAACCAACCAATCAATCAATCAATCAATCACAGCACTTCCTGTTCAGTTGGTCGATCGAAACGAGTGAGATGCGGTCATGCAAGGATATTCGCTCCAGAGTTGGGCTCCTGGTATGTTGGAACCTCCTGCTACAGAAGTGAACTAGCGTACAGCCCAGAGTTGGGCTCCTGGTATATTGGAACCCCCTGCTACAGAAGTGAACTAGCGTACAGCCTTCCAAGATAAGGCTGATTATGATTAAGCCTACCTGCGTGTTGACCAGTCTTGCAAATTACTTCTGCATCAGGATCCCAGAACGTTCTAAGGACGTTCCATTTTATTGTATTTCTCTTGGTAGATGGCTTGAACTAAATGTATTGTGGTTTTACGTTCTTCGCAAACGCCAGTAAGTACTTCACATTTTACCCGACCACCCATTAGAGATGTCCCGTCCGCGTATCCACCGTTTTCTTCTGGAAGATACGTTTTAATGATATCGTTTCTTTTATGTCTACTCCCAGTCGGTAATTTTAGAGACCGAAGAAGGAAGTCAGATTTTATGCGTAGTGTCCTGTCCTATCCGGAGTCGTTGATGAGGTCGCGGGTGTGGTCTTATTAAGAAGGAGTTTGCCTTGTTACGTAGCGTATTGTCTGGACACGGTGCATGTGAAAGTGGTAGAGAGATGCAGAGGAAACAACTGGTTTTATGCTCTTTAAAGCGCACTGCAGACAGGTACGTCCTTCTGGTCCGGTAGCAATGTATAATTGACGCGTAATATATGGGCAGGAGGCCATGTTTGTCCGTCCGAAGGTTTCATCTACGGAACTAGTGACCTACATTAAGTTTGGTATAGCAGCCGAATTTAATTTTGATGCATGCCTGTCAGTTATGCTTCTAGCCCCAACTTTTTATGAAGTCTACATTGAACTTTAGAATATTTCTGAAGAATTGTCTCTGCTCAAAAGGATATTATACATGGCGTGGGATATCGACCTGATTTAACGTCTACAAGTTTTATTGGAACTATTCTTCAATATGGTGAATATTTTCCGAAGTACAAGTAGGATATGTTTTATATCGATTGGAATGTTATGTATCTGTACTTGTGGACATGAACAACGCTACGTTACAGCGTGCAGTGATTTTTGTTGACTTATTCCACACGTACGCTACACGGTGAAACATGTTTGTGTTCGCTTGATATAATTTTTCCTTCGTCACTTTCGCCAAAGTGTTGCTTCACACGTGCCAAAATTACGAAAGGACGCTGAATGTGACTAAGAATGTTAACCTTTCATCGTTACTCGCGATGTCTGTAGCATTTTCCCGGGTGTATTTTATTTTAAGTTTCGAGGAAAAAACGTTTGTTTATGTGAATTAGCGACTGTTTCCACATGCTCCCATTCCTGACATGCTGCCCGTTTCCCCGAAATAGGACACGACTAGCGCCGTTAAACCTATGAACTGCTGCATTCAACATAGAAAAATGCACAACGTATGTAACGTTTTAAATTTGTGTCACGTTGAGTCGTCCCGTCATTTCAATGTAAGAGTGAAAATTACACGGGTAACGCAGCGGAAGTCACCGTGAGATCAACAGGTTTTCGAGCCACAAGTTGAAACTCATGTCCCATGGGGACAGAGATGGTCCCTGAAACGTCGGTTTCGTCTTTTAACCATTTGACGCGGCCCTAAAAACGAAATGTTATCGTGGGCATTTTGTGACTTTGCCGTCAGATGTAGCCTTGACATCAGCGCGCACGCCACTAAGATGAACTCATTTCGCCTATTTCTCTGTCAGGTAGAGCCATTTAAAATTGGTTATATTTTTAGTGCATCTTACTAACGTGTTAAGCCAGATTAAGAGTTCACCGAGTTGGTTCCATACTGGTGAATTCCGCCACTGGTCGGAGTGTTCTCCGTAAGACCTGCTCGTCAACCCGGGTGAACCACATCATATAAACACTCTCTCACAATCCCGCGTTCCTTATATTTGTAAGACATTTATTTGGACAGATTCGAAGTGGTTGAGGTGTTCAGTTGAAAATTCGTTGATTGATTGCTTTGTGAGTAGTGGAAAATCGTTGCTGTAGTCGTTGAATTTCGTCCTTCATTCAGGATGCTGAGGAAATAGTTCGTGACACGTAAAACAGGCCAACTCCTTGTATTAACACGCACATTTAAGTATCCAAGAAACTTCTGGCAAGTGCACGCCGAATCAGGTTATGGTAAATCTCAGTTTACATTAAATCTGATTTTATCTTGATGTAGACGCATGTTTTTATGAGGTCGCAGGAGTGCACATGTTTGAAAGTTCGTGAATTTTATTTGATTTAAATATATGACAAGGAACTAGTAACTGTAAATTATTCCCATATTTATACTCTGTACCAAATTGTATTTGTTTAGATGATAGATTGAAGGTGATTAAGACGAGGAAGGCATATAAACTGCATAGGCGTGATGAGAAATACATTAAAATTTTTAATCGGAATGGCTGTAGCGTAGAGACACCTTCATGTACCTAGGCGTAGATGTGAGGATGATATTAAAATGGATGTTAAAGAGTGTCGTCTGAAGTCTTCTAGCTCGGGATAGGTGCCAGGTGACTATTTGAGCGACTGTTAATTAGCAACTTCCCTTCTCTGAACATGTAATTCCATTAGTTTAACCCGAATGACTTTGACATTGTGCGTAATCCAGGTCGAAATGTCAAAACGCTACGATTTATTGCTGGCGTATGCATTCGTTACAATAACATTGTGACTGTTAAGTTATGTGTGTAGTTTACGTTCCGCACTTCTTTACACAGATGAAGATTGATGCAAGGATGATTTGAGGTGTCAGTAATCTATTATTAAAGCGGCAACTTCCATGATTTATTTTAAGGCAGAAACCACGCGTTAGTCTTGAAAGACCCTACTGCCGAAACTCGCCACGTTATGACCAGGCTCTGTTTAGATGTTCTCCGAGCTGTAAGCATCTTGCTTGATAAGAACAGCGAATGGCATGACTCCAGTTCGTGTTTTATGATTTTTTATTTTGTTCGTTGGACACAGTTATTTCATTTTGCAGAGAGAAGAATAATTGACGCAGTTTATGGGAGTTTGAATAGTCACTAAACTGAATTTTTGCTGAGGTCTGCCAGTTTTTGTTGCAAGACAATATTTTCGAAATTTTACCAAGGTGGAAGTGTAGTATTAAAATGAAAGTTGAAAGAAACAGTAGAATTATTCTATAATCCTATAATGTATTGGAGTCTAATTATCTTCTCCTGGTTTCTGTTGTGTTTGATTAAGGTAGTTCGGGGTCTAAGCATTGAAACTTAGTTCTACTTTAATTGAAGCTTGCTTCATTAGGTCTATAGGCACTCGGAATGCCCAGGCTTAGATGTGAAGATAATATTAAAACGGGTCTTAGGTTCCAGTGTAGGTCCCCAATACCAAATTTTGATATCCGAGACGGGCAGACAGACACTCGACCTCTTTAGCATGTGATCGTTTGTGTGAGAGTGGGTTTTTGCTGGTAATCAGTAGATCGATATCACACATACCGGAATCGCTGTTGATAATCTGCGACCTTTTTTTTGTCCTACTCATTTGCCGAACGCTGCTGTACTGGAAAGTTAGCTGAAATTGAATTGTCCCTTTGAAGGTGTGGAAATGCATGCCAAATTGCATATATCGGAAATGATTTATCCATTTCGAAACGATGCATCTCGCCAGTAGCATTTAGTATATATTAACTTACCGTTTGAAGTACGAAACGCATGCATCGTGCTGTTTAGTTCATTTTCATTCATGCGTACTGTGCCAGGTTTATTACAGTGCATAGTTTTCTGCCCTTACAAAAATAAAATTGTTATGCGTCGGTAGGAAAGTGTGTTAGCTTATAATTAAAACCTCAGTTGTGAGTACATAAATGTTAATGACTGCTGTACTTTCCTGTTGGAATCAAATTTGTGATATGACAGTAGCTTATACATACGCTGGCGACTTTACATCTCAGTATTTTATATTATTGTGACGTGCACTTCCCGAAATATGTAAAAAAAATGCCTCATGCGTGCGTGGTTGTCTAGCCCAGCACTGGAATCTGGTTAATGAAGTGTTGTGAGATGGGAGTGATGCTGTGTAGGTTTCGTCTTCGGAAATTATTTAAACATTTTGATGTCAGCCTATACTTAAGATCAAACTAATTAGAAGGCGGTTTTATCTGTGTCGTTACACGTGGAATTCGGACTTTAGGATATGAAATTCAATTCAATTCATTTAAGTGCTTGACAACGGCCAGGTAATGCCAATAACAGTCAAACACTGAATAACAGTACAGGATGAAATATAATAAATAATTAAATTCATTTCAATAATAATAAAAGTAAAACATTACAAATACAAAAACAAACAAATTAAACTAAATATATAAATGTACCATATTGAACAATATAATAGAGAAGCAAACAAACTGGCTCTTGAATTGCCTATTTTTAGAATGTATCTGATCCATTTACTTTAGTGGATTTCGTTCACATGACCTTTCAAGTTGTTTCTACGGTAAGGGTAGCTTCTTTAGAGGGTTAATTGGTTTTCTTATGCACACATGTAAGTTATTTCTTCTTGTTCTTTACAGCACATGGTTCAGACGGGAATGGCGACACCCTATGCGACGCAGTACCCCCAAAATGGGGAGGCGGGTCCTCCCAAGACTGAACCCGGCAAAGAGGGCCCACCGGTAGCTGTCCCCCCATTCTCACCACCAACAGTTACGCCGAACGGCATCGAACAGCAGACAGTTAGTATTGTAAGTATTTCTTGTTCATTTCCTGTGTTGTTGTGTGTACCGCAGCACAGCGTGCATGGGGTTCAGACCCTCGACCTGAGCTCCGCCATGCTGTCTCTCTCTCTCGCCCGCCAGAGCGGCAGAACTTGCGAGAACGTTTCGATAAGTGCCAGGGCATATCGATCGCTGTATTGCAGGTACCTGCAGTGTTGGGGACGAAAATATTTGTCCATCCGTGTCTGTTGAGGTTGTTTAATGACACTGTATGAATTTTAAGGTTACGTAGCGTCCGATAAAGTGAGACGCTTGAGGAAAAATCAGCAGCGGTCTGTTTCATTGTGTTATTTCCAGGAGTGTCTGAAGAAACATAGGAAACACCGACTTAGTATAGGTAATTTCCTAGCCGAGATTTGAATCGGGACCTTCCAGATGTAAGACGTTTTACCTCGTGTTTCAGTTTGTTAGACGAATTATAGATTGTGGTGTGAAGACATTTCAGGTAATTGAGTAGCCCTCGTTTGTGCCGATTAGTGTCGTTAGGCGGTAAGAACGGGATCCAGGCGCTTCTGACGCCATCTTGCGTAGTTTTTTTCCCCAGTGTTGTGGTGATTGCAACAGCGCATTGCTGTGTTTTATGCGTGTCTTATTTGTCGTGCCCTTGTATTGTAACCGGTCGTTTGCTTTACAATTTTGGCGGGTGCCAAAATTCCTTACAGCGTCCGTTAAAAAACAAACAGTCGAAGGTCTAGTGATTCTGCGTATGTTCACTGTAACCATTTCAAGTCCAAGCTACTTCTAACTGGTATGAGTTAAGTAGGAATATAGTATGAAATGGGACCATTGAAATGTGATGGATACGCAATGTTAAATCTTTAAATTTATTATTGCAAAGGACGCTCGGCCGTAAGGCTTACAACGCAGTGATAACATTTGAAACGCCTTCGAAGTTGGCCTTTCTTCTGGCGTTATGCCAGTCTCGGATTTGCACAAGCTAAGGTTAGTAAATTAGATATTCTGGTGGCCCTACATGATCTAAGTTCGTTATGTCTCCCTTCTGTTCCAATTACCTCTCTCCGACGAACAAGCCGGTTTCCAGATTCGGACTGCCCTGCCCTCGTGCATACAATCACGATTTTTCAACTGTTTAGGAAGTGGGACCGCGATTGTTATGGATGAAATTCGTGATTCTGTGCCTTGCGCGTTTACGGTTAGATCTTGAAGTATATGAAGGCATGAGAACGTGTGGTGGAAGGCGTGTAGGGTGTCGAAACGTTGGCTCGAGGCTTCCAATTCACCTCGAGCCTTGTGTTTATGTGCTCATTTTGGGTATTATATTGTTATGTTTAATTCGACCTTGCAACGAGCCGATACTGCCTCCAAGGAATTTTATTACGAAATGTCGGAGGTTAACAGATTTAGAATTTGTTCTGAGTCGGGACGGGCCACAGGGTCACCTGAAGGGCATACATAGGCCAAACGTTGGCGTAATTCTTTGTTGTAGTGTGTTACTGGGTTTGTTTATCTGTTTATATTACGTCAAATGGGGAGATATTTCGTTGATGATGAATAGGAAAATGTGTTGGATGGAAGGGTTTTGTGTATTTGAAGGCTGTGTCCTCTCATTTGTTTGGAGATACTGAGGAAAACCGCAAATCCGACGGGATAATTGGCCAGTGGGAGAAGAAACGAACCCGGGAACTCCCGAATATCAAGCAGGCTCGCTAACAGTTGAATATATGGAGATCATAGTAAGAGAATAATTTAAAAGTCGTGTTTGTAAACAGTTTCACAAATATTATGCAGTTCTGACAGAAGGCTGTTTGTTTTCGGTGGAAGTTTCCCGTCATTACTGCTGTGTGTAAGACTTGTATCCCCTATGGTGGCATGATTCTCTTTTCGATGTTTCTGTGGCCCAACTCAGTTCGAGAATTATACACGATGTACGGCCTCAACACTCCATTCTTAATATAGCTATTTTAAGCGTCAAATGCAGTGAATTAGCTTCTTGTGTACCACTGTCTTCCCCCCCCCCCTGCAACGTGGGAATATGTTAATTTAATTCACATTTGTGTGTGCTTGTGGGAAAATATACAAGTTTGTATCTTAAACCTAAGCTTGGAATTAATAAAAGTTGGCGGATGACCTGCGGACATATTCTTCTTGTTTAAGCGGCTTTTATGAGAGACAATTTTACGTTTATGCCGTATGGAAGAACGATAGCTCGATAGCTTTTGTGTTAAATTTGTAACGCAAGTTGCTTAACACATGTTTTAACATAGTAGCTCTTTATTAAACAGTATTAAGCAACTGGAGATGCGTTGCGTTTTCTCTTCTGTATTGACTGAAATTTTAAATATTTCTAGGCGAGCTTTGGCTTCGGAGGGTTCAGATTGGAAATTAGAATTTTGATAGTGCCTCGTTTTAACGCACACACGCGCTGTTATAATAATTAAAAATTCGACGGATTTTAATTTACCCTACTCACATACAACCCAGATTAAAGATAAACCTGAACGGGTTTGCTCAAGTCTGCATTTAACCATTAAACAGTTTTCATATATTATAATTTTACAAAATTAGCGCGTTTTCTCTAAACGAATAGGGCTGTTTATGAAAAATGCGTGTTAGACTGTAGCATAGGAATTTTATTCATTACATTCTTTTAGATGCAGAAAATGATAGAATTTGTTTAATAAAGTAAATAATGCTCTCTGGGCTTTGCATTCTTAGCCCTTCGTGTTAGGTCTTGCCTTCAAGGTTTCTCAGTCATGCCATATATAAAATCGTGGAGTTACTGCCAACTGATATTTGTTGCAGTAGTTCAATATGCAAAGGAAGGTGTCGTGTAGCGTGACGTGGCTGTTGTATTGTGAACAAAAGCCGTCACCACTGTGGGCTCGATAGATCACGTTTGTGATTCGGTTCGTTTTAAGTTCAGACGTAGGAAAATTGTTATAGTTCTTCATCCCTTGGTGATACCTGACTAAGCTTCTCGTGCAATATGAAATTCTTGGGTAGAAAACCATTTTATATCAAGAATAAGCTTGAATAATAGTTCATTGAAAGTTGAACAATTATTTTTTCAGATGCGATTTCATAAAAATTTGAAGTTTTTATGAGCGTGTAAGAAATGTATTGGTTGACCACGGAAAACAAAAGACAAAAAAGTGGTTTGAAGGAAACTAGAAAAGCAAGCGGCCCAGACAATATTTGTCGGTTCTTAAGACATGGCCGTAATGGCGATCCGTACATCCGTCCTCCAGAAGGGTAAAAGTAAAGTAAAGTTTGTCCCACTATACGCCACGTAGGCGTTTGGGGTGAGTGGAGGTATAGCTCCTCTCTTCCTTGACCTCGGCACTAGATGGGGGTGAGTGGTCAGCATCACGCCCCGGCCGGCTTTACCCCCGGGAAAGGACCCCGGTACCCATTGCAGAGGAGGCTGGGTTGGCCCCAGAGGCTAGAGGAAAAATCCTCTGCCCCCGTCGGGGATCGAACCCCGGTCGTCCAGCCCGTAGCTAGTCACTATACGGACTGAGCTATCCCGGAGGGTGCGACTTGAAATCAAGGGAATATTCACACACTGCCATGAACGTGTCTGGTGTACCCCATTTCATGAGTTGGGGGCACGAAACCGAATCGCCGAGTCCGGGATTTTGTTCGGTTTTAAAAAGAACGAACACGTTACCAAACTTCGGACTGGAAAATTTCATCGACAAGAAGAAACAGTTTTGGAACTTTTCGTTCACGTCTTTGAACCAGTGGGAGGAACCTGACGCACAGAAAAAAGTTACTCTTACATTTATGCCTCTCTCTAGAATCATTGAGACGGAAAACTTTTGAGATTTTATAAAACGGCTTTTTGTTATGCAGTGCTCAGGCGACCTAACATAAGTTTGGAACCATTGAGATGTGGTTATTAGTCTGGTAATTGGCATGCACTTTGCCGTCATCAAACTTAGCGACAGGGTGTTTAATTCTGTCTGCCGGAATTCACGAATGCACTCAGCACGTCTCTCACCGTGGGCAGATAAACTTCGGGTCGGAGCCCGTCGCCTATTGGGTAATGTGTTCTGTCGAAGCTAAAGCTGGAGACCAGATTTGGTTGCTACTGTGCTGTTCTGATTTTTGTGTTAGCGTAGTGATATCGTAACATGGTTTCCTGTCCCCGGTACATGTTAGAGAACGTATAATCACATTACATAGAAATCAAGAGATCGTTCGACGCTGGTGGATATCATATGTCGTGATTAATGTGATTTGAAATCCAAGATCCTGATGTACTGTTGAAGTAATTTATAAAACTACTTGAATGTCTGACAGCCTCCAGTCTAAATTGTCTTACAGATATTTTAACTTGAAATTGATGTTCGCTTGTAGGTCAAGAGCGGGAAAAAGACTGATCTGCGCCAAACTTGGCATGCTTATTCCTTGAAACCAGGGACAGGTATTAGAAAGGTCATTCTGGAACTGTTATGGGTTTGAAACCCGGTGTATCTTGGAAACTAAGTACGTTAGAAGAACGTCGCTAAGACCAAAGTAGTTTGTTTCGGTGAGGAAATTGCAAGAATAAAGGCCATAGTCTCGAAAAGCTGTCATGGGTTTGAGTCCCCTCATTTTTTTAAGCTCTGAAACTAAGGACGATAAAATGACGGCGCAAAGAACAGGCTTGTTTGCTTCGGTGAGGATATAATAGAAACTAGGGCTAAGACTTCTGGGTTCTGGTCTTGGTGAACACATTGGGTTTGGGGATAATAATGCAAGTTACAATTTTTTTGGTGTCAGTCAGCGAACGTGTCGAATTTTCGGGCCTGTAGTAAGATTTCGGACAATGAAGATTGATAGTACTTATAAGCATTTGTCGAATTTCTTAAGCAACCCTGCGGGCAGTTTGCTAGTAAGTGGATAAAGATGACCACAGCTAGATTCTTACCGGTTCTGTGTCCAACTTTATAATATATTCAGACGTATTTATATTTGAAGATCGCTGTCTTTTGCGGTCTGGTAGATATTGATGGGTGTCT